TTTAGTTTTTATCATCATTTGCAATTATTTATTTGGGGCGCAAAGAACTATGTTGTTTGTATTATCTCTCATTTTGCTAAACCCATTAAACATATCAACCCGAGGATGAAGCGCATGAACAAAGAACATAAAAATCTATATATAATTATCATTAAAATGCATATCTAGTATTCATTAATAAATCAATCAAAAAAGGCTCAATATAGAATTTCACATGAAAAACAACAATATAAGGGGTATTTAGGGTTTCATTAGTTTATAAACTACTTTTTAGTTCTAAACTATATATATGTATAATTAACTTTTAATCACAATTTATTAAGAAAGTTTTGTTTGTTTTGAATCTCGCGCAAAGCTACACGAGGGCTATCTGCGCTAGCCGTCCGTAATTTAGCAGCGTAAGACTAGAGGGAAGGCAGCTAGTCATCACCACCCACCGCCAACTCTTGGGCTACTCTTTTACCAACGAATAGTAGGATTGACCGTAACATTATAACGTCCCCACGGCTGAAAGGTCGAGCATGTTTGGTGGGACGGGGATTCGAACCCGTGACCCGCAGACAACGAGTCGAGCGCCCTAACCTGACCATGCTGGGCCTTAGTGAATACTAACCATACTTTAGGGTTAACGCTAGTAAGAAATCTGGTGTCTTGCAAGAAACTGAGTTATATATTGGTAACACAGAGCTACGAATTTTAGCTTCATAAAAGTTGTTTTGGTTTTAATAACTGATCTTCCACAATTCAGCTACGCAGATTTCAAAAATAATAATATTATTTTTTTCTGTCACATAAGGATATTTTACAATTCGGGAAGAAAAAACTCTAATTTAGATCAAATTATTATTTCGTTTACCACAATGAACATTAGTTATTATTGTTTGTTAACAAAAATACAAACAAACTAAAAAAAATGGAAGAACGTTGATGTAAAACGAATATGCATCCTTATTCATTATGATTTTTTGTGTGTGAAATCTACGTCTTTTAGTCTCAAAACTACGTGTTGTCGTCTTTCTTTTATGTATTTCGTTATGACGTTTTGTGAAAAATCTGTACGTGATGGAGAAAAATGGATATCATTTTCGGATTCGGCGTACAGTAATTAGTGTAGAACATTGGAAAATTTCAAGACACCAAAAACCATCGCAGGCCTATGTAATTACTCTTTAATTTTAGAACAAAATAATTGATTAATTTTCTCAACGTCATCTTCATATAACAGCACAGTATTAGAACAACATTCGAATATATACAACCTTGATTACAACCTTCTGTATTGTGTTTTGATTAACATGGTTAATTAAATCGCACAATCACCGCATAGTCACACCAAATTCACTTCACATGAAAGGTTATTTAGTCCATTAAGAAAAGAATGACTACTTCCTAACCTTAACAAAAAGAGATAAGTTACATGGCGTTCACTCCAATTTTTCTCTCTTTATTTCACAAACTTTTTAATTATGCTTCAAAGAATGTATGAGTATTCTGTAACAACGTATACTTACAGAGATTTACGCATAAGTGCAATAAAGTTAAATTGGTTTATACGTTTTTTATTGGGTTATTCACCAGTGATTTTTTCCCATTATCATTACTTGGTATTAATGCACTGAAACTAATCAAGACTAAGTCACAATAAACCTCCTGATACAACAGAAGATTCTGGTCACTTGAGTGACCAGAATATCATATTTTTTTGTAATATTACTTATATAGAAGCATGTTCAGACACGTAATGAAAATTATAAAGGTAAAACAATTTTAAAATATTGCTTTAATTGGTACATTTTTATGTACCTTGTCTGCTATCACTAAAACTGCTTAGGTTCATATACTAACATGAATGTTAATTATATTATACGCAACACGTTAACTTAAAACTCATTTTCTCTCACGGCTTTTTCAAAATGATTCATCTTTATCTCCTGTACTTTTAACAATCATTAATGAAAGTCACCGTTGAATTAAAAATTACGCTTAATAACTACCGAGGGATTTTAAAATTAATTTAAACATAACGTGACTGAGAAATTTTGAAATGCATTCCATAAATAGTTTTAAAAGTGGAAATTGGATGTCCGATATTGCATCTATGTTGTTATAAAATAATTTCAACTGCTTCCCTCAATTATATTTTTATGCTCATGGATCTACTCATGATCTGTGGTATGACCTGAAATTGATATTATTTGTTATTTAAGCCTGGCCCCCGGTTTGTCAGCGTTAAGTTTACGTACTTAGTTTGCTAACTTCCGAGATTTGATTCCCTGCGGTGGACAAAGCGCATATATACCATATATATATATATATACAATGCGCTAAAAATCAGCAACAACAATAATATTTGAGATACACGAACAGAAGAATAATCGGGCTCTGTTGTTGCACGCTTAGAATCAGTGTTCATGAGATGGTGTGATATCTTTGATCACTCAAAGAAAAGAACTGTTTATTTAGTGTCAAGAATCTCGCGCCTCTCAAGTGTCTCCATTAGATGCATTAAAATTTGCCTGCATGACACTCCATTCAGTCAATCTTATTCTCTTCAAAGAAAGTTTCGACCAGTATGATACGGTATAGGCAGATTTTTATATCCACTGAGCTGAAGTTAGAGACAATTGCACTGGTTTATGGCAGTGAAAAGGGTTTTAGGATGTGGTCCTGTAAATGGAGCATTAACGGTACCATTCCTCAAGATGTAGAGGTAATTACATCTACAGATGTTTATTTCTGTTCATACCATACTTCCAAAAGTACCAAATGCGTCATGCTTTTTCATGAAAATTGTGTTGCATTTGTTTTCAGATTCTCATTTAATTAGCACATATCTATTATCTGACTGCAGATGAAGTGTTACTCATCTGTAAGAAAAACTAAGCAACACGTGTTGCCCCACTGGTGTTCCTTAGTGGAACCACCTCATCAGCAATCTAGCAAATAGGCAGACCTTACGAAACCTGTTTCTGACCAACCATACACTGATATGGTGCTAACATCTGAGTCTTGGTGCAGGTAATATAAGATTGCCACAAGACAGAACTGACAGATAGTGAAAGTCTACAGGGGTTATGCACTTCAACAACCTTAATTTCAATTGTAATGGAACTAACACCACTCGACTGATAATCAAATGCCTACTTTGAAAAACACTGAACTCAGAAATGTGACAAACATTATTTTATAACTAGTTTTGCTTTGTCATAACAGTACCTTATGATGCCTTTATAAGCAAAACGACGGTAGTAATAAATTAATTACTTGTCAAACGTACAATTGTCTTTCTTTTCCTCAATCTTGTAATTGCAGTACTTGTTTAAACAATATTTAGTGTATTTCAAAACATTACTTATTACATGTAACAAATAATTAATTGTAGCTTTTCAGTCTGGCAATCACCGTGTATTTGCAAACTGTTTTATGTAGTCTAGGAATCCAAAATAATTTCGTTATTATATTATAAGGTTTTTCAGAATATACACCAAAGTCTGATATCACAGTAATTTGTTTTTTGATACTCTCTCTAACGGCTTTTACGTATTTATACACCTCGTTATCTCAGTGTTTCAAAATTAAACCCTAATTCTTAAAGAAAGTCGTAATAAAGGTATCTTTAGAAACGATTGTTTGTTTGTTTTAGAGCAAAGCAACATTGGCTATCTGCTGTATCCACCGCGGTGAATCGAACCCCTGATTTAAGCGTTGTAAGTCCGTAACTTACCACCTTTACACTGGGGGACTTGTAGAAACACAACGTTTTGACAGCTTTATCGACGGGAAAGATCATGTATCTTACTGTGTAAAGAATAAAAATATTTGATAGCTTTTTTTTTAAGTATACATAATTATTCATGGTTGTTGCTGAAAAAATTTCTCTAAGCTTGTTATGCGTTTTTGGCTTATGTCTTCAAGTCTTTGTGCCCATTCTTTAAATATGTTTATTATTAAGTTCTAGTTTTTACTCATTTTATGTAAATGTTATTGATTGGTTTACTAATTACTTGTTTTTTTAAGAATCCAATTAACTTTAATCAACTCATGAGCTTAGAATTTTTTCCTATCTTTTTTCGTTAAGAGCCGCAAATCATCATTAGTTATGTGACGACAGTATAACTAAACAACGTAACCAAATTAAGAAAGAATCCTTATTAATCTATGTGAGTTAGAAAGAAACCAAAGACCTCCAAAAAATGTCTTAACTTTATTTCTAATTTTTATCCCGAAATAATTTCAATTTATGGAAGCAATTCATGTGCGAACTCTAACGTATAAAATCAGTTTTCGAGTTGACAAGGAATACAGAAACTAACAAACGGCTACAAACGCTGTTCTTAATCAGACATTTATCATCTAGTGTATAGCGTTAATGTTCAACTACTCCTTGTTATGGCCACTTATCTATAAATGTGTTTATTACAAAAAATTCATCACTGCACACTTGACTTAATGTTTATTTCTTAAAACCCTTGATAAATTACTATCGTTTTATTCAAATCGCAACCGATCAAACAAATCTAATTTGTACACACACACACTAGCCTCTTAAAAACTCCTAAAGTACAATAACAACTACCGATACGTTTACTTTAATTTATAGGCCTACGATAACACTTAATAATATTGAAACGAATATTAAATTACTTTCTACTTTCACCTATTACTATTTCCGATATTACGAGGATGTTGTGAATTTGATATTTAGAAGTGTGCAGTATTTATAGAGAATAAAAACTCTTTGATTACGTTTGCGTGATATAAAAGATACAAATACATTGGTCAATTGTATTATTATTTTAATTCTTATAATACGAAATGATATTTCATTTAAATAATACTTAAACGTATTTAACTACTTAAACGGCACATTATTCACTGCTTAATACAATAAATATAAGATAATTGATAGGACCAATGCAATTTGAAAAAAAAATACAAATTAGTACTGCAAGCTTTAAGCTTCACAGCATTTAGATTAAATCACCAGAAGCGCCACCTACCTGTAGGTGCTTGAATTTTGTGGACTGATTGCAGGAACATGCAGCTAACTCCAGTTCCAGATACTAATGCGGAGATTATCTGACCGACAAGTATTGATCTCCAGATCTGCCTGTAAAATGAAAGCGAATAAAATAAAAATACAAACAAATTTTTCTGATAGTATATAAAAATAAATACGTGTTGCGCGAGAAAACGTTGATGAGTAGTATTGATAATTATAATAATTCATTACATAAAAATAAAATGCATAAGCCGATTACTTCGTGACAAACATATTTTTAATCAATTTCTATAAACATTCAATATTTATTTTTAGAATACCTATTAAACAGCAAACTACGGGTGTAATCTTGGTATGTCACCGAATCCAAAATCTAAATTCGTAAGTAATTACAAAGACCCTAAATTTCTACGCACGTATTTTCGCAAATCTTCTATGTTAAAGCGTTGAATAATATCTGAACTTTCAATATAATAACTGTTACATGCACATATAGACTAATTATCATATTCTCAAGTACATCACAAGCTAAAGCTTTTATACAATATATATTTATTTTTTATGCACAAAACTACACAATGGGCTATCTGTGCTCTGCCCACCACGTGTATCGAAACCCGGATTCTAGCATTGTAAGTCCGCATTCATACCGCTGTGCCACTGGGGGGGGGGGCTAAAGTTTTTGGTATTACTGTTTTCTTTCAATAGAGTCGACTGCCTTGGCCTCGCTTCCCATTCTGTGCTATCTATCACTAACATGGAAATTCTGTTCATAAAAACAAACACTGCAAGGTAAACAGCTTCAATATAAAACAAGCATTTACTAGATTCATGACATTAGATCTTAAGGAAGCACTTCACACCTTTGAGGTTAAAAAGAACTTGCCTGAATCACCAAAATACCTCAGGTCGACCCATTTCTATTGTTAAAACAGTGTTTTAAAATTTGTCCTTGTTGTTGACTGTAATAATCAAAAGTACTGCCTTAGAAATAGAACGAGTACTAGGTCATAATCCCAGCGATTAGGCCGATAGGCGCTAACCCATCATGTGGAGTCTGGCTGCTTCACTGGAGGTAGAATACAGTTTATTTACTGACGTTACCAGAGGCCTTCTATAACCTTTCCTATTGATTCTCCATCTTTTGCTTTTCCTAGCTACACCATATAATATTTTGTTTTCCGATAGACTCATTCCCTCTGAATATCGATGATGGCCTTTCATGATTGCCTTAACAGTGCAGAGGAGGCCGATATCCTGACAGTAGAGTTGTGGCAGATTTGATATAGGGATTCTCTTACGAGCCTATCAGTGTCTTCATTTAGCTCTACCCTTGTATGACATGGCACATACATCCAAGCAATGGTCTTACCATGCAGCTGCTTTGCTTTCTGACATCTATCTTGAGACCAACCACTCGTAATTTGACGCGAAACAGCCTGCGAGTTAGTTATAAGTATAATGTCCATGGCATTGTTTATTTGAGGTTTATTGTTTAGAGAAATCCAGAAAAGAACTTGTTTTATGGCTTTCAGCTCTATCCTTATATTACTTTTGCGAAGCTTGAAAGCTCCACCAGCCTTACGAAAGGTTTTTAGTTCACGAGCTGATGAATACCCATCCAAATTTCTCTCTCTATATGTGAGGAAGTAATCATATGTGGCTATGATGACAAGTGACTACACACTATTGTTTTTAAGTAGGTATCTATTTAGATTGATTTCCACAGATCCAAATGGCACCCGTTGTTTATTCCATATGGGAGCATCTGAGATTTAGTGGGGACTAATTATCTCCATTGTTGCTGAACGACAACTTTCCACCCATGACTGTCTCCCGAGTTTTAGGTAATGCCTAGTATAGCTGGTGTCTTTGAGACCTTTGTGGTGCTGGGTTCGTTTGGGTCATTGCACCATTTGCACACCAAGGTAATATATGGTTGCTTTTTTTAAAACTTTGGTAGAGACTCTGTTATACATCAGAATGTTGTTACCAAATGTTAGAAAACATCATCTGTTTGGACAGTTCAAGTGCTAGATCCATGTTGTAAATGTTGATAAAGACTGGTAAGAGTGGCATATAATCCTTGAAATAGACTGGTACTTAAGGTGATCCAGTGTGATTTCCACCATCAATAATTCATGACACATCTTCTGTTAGCTATTGCAGCTGTAACCCATTTTATATATGCCAACATGGATGCGTATTTTAAGCGTTTTGTCATCATGAATGAGAAGCTGGACTTTATTGTACGCAACTCCTAGATATATAGTTACTGCCAACGTGTTCTTATCATCTTAAAATATTCCCGTGTATCAGCTGTGAATCCAGCAGTATTGATCCAGGTTTCTCTTCCACCATGTTAATCACAAAATGATGAATCGGCAGTGGTTCACTTTGGTAAGAACCTTCTCTAGGGGCTTGATGTTTTGTAGGAGGAGGATTCCATGGCCTTTAAGACGAGAGTGATCCTTTTAATGTTTGAGTAAGGATTTCCTAAAAATATCAGTCCATATCACAGGAATGCTGCCTTTGCTCAGCTACGTTGAAATTCTGACAATAGCCTCAATAGGCTGGATTTTGCAAGCCTCTTAAAGGTGGGTATTCCTACAACATAAGGGTATGGAGATATTTAGATGTATTTTAGGCTGTGTGTACCTCATCTTAGGTAAATGTCGCTTCCATATGTACAAGTAATTGTATCTCGGATAAGGATTGCTGTAGCTTGAACCTCACTCTCCCCCCGGATGCTTTGTTTTATGTATTGTTGTTTGTAGACAATACATTAACCACATGCTGTTCAGAATTTCTGTTCCTAACCCTGTCCATCCTAACAAGCCAGGCAGGAGACAACGGGCTAGTAACCTATTAGAACGGGGCTGTCATTCTTGGGGGCTGCACACTGGCCAATAGAGTAGAAGGATACACTGCCATTATAGAAAAGACTCCATGGTGCAGGACCTTACACTGGTGAGCCTCAGCTTTGCTTATAACAAGTAACTAGACATCTCCATATTGTTTCCACTGTCTAATAACATAGTGTAGCGTAGTATCCGCTGTCAACCTATCCGGTAGTGTGGCACTATCTGATCCGTATCCAATTATGTTTTGTCTCAAACTTAATACATATACTAAAATTAAAGAAAGTTTTTGTTGACCATTGATCTCACGCTGCAGAGATTCATACACCCTATATTGTATACAACTAGGCTGAAAGGGACTGATCTTACCAATAAATTAGTCGTTGTCTCAGACTTGACGCCTTATACATGTACTAAAATTAAACTAAAGCTAACATTATATCTGTAAATAATCATCCAGAGTCAGTAATGTACTTTTACTTATAATTCAATTCATAGTAACTCTAATTATAATTAAAGCTGAATATTAGGTCTACAACACACAGTTACACTGTACATGTACTCATGACAACAACTGAACGCATGGTAACACCGTATGTACCAAAACCTATTAAACTTACATAGTTGGTAATTACAAAGTGCCTAAACTAAACACGTAGCATATTTTACTTATACTTATAACTTAGCAGTTTTTAGCAGTGTAAGTAAATCTATCTCTAATCGTATGGCAAATTAGTACCCAATATTAAAATTATAAAAAGCGAATCAACACTTTGTACACTATTTTCTATAAATATACAATTGTAATGCAGAAGAAACTAAAACGAACAAATAAAACTACATCGCTACAACCCTTCTTAACAGTGGATATCTGGAACACTTGATAAACAGAGTATAAACTCTCAGACTAAACAGGAATAAAACTACATCGCTACAAACCTTCTTAACAGTGGATATCTGGAACACTTGATAAACAGAGTATAAACTCTCAGACTAAACAGGAATAAAACTACATCGCTACAACCCTTCTTAACAGTGGATATCTGGAACACTTGATAAACAGAGTATAAACTCTCAGACTAAACAGGAATAAAACTACATCGCTACAACCCTTCTTAACAGTGTATATCTGGAACACTTGATAAACAGAGTATAAACTCTCAGAATAAACAGGAAGAAAACTACAGACTTATTACTATATTCTCTTATGTTAACATCATATCAGAATAGGTTACAACACGATATAACTGCGGTTAGTATACACCCAACTACCAAAATAATAAACGGACAGGAAAAGAATCGTTACAACATGCCTTGCAAATGGGGATTCCAATACACGCAAAACAACCAATAAAAGTTATAATTCAGAAATATGATAAACATGTAATAGTGCTAGAGAAGAAGACCATGTGACAAGTTGGAATAATATTAAAATAATGAGATATTAATCACATATGAAGGATAAAAGAAGCCTTCTGCATCAATCTCATTGATAATACACTCAGTCAACATAGCACTGTAGTCAGCAAAACCTAAAAACCCCTCTTGTAAATTTTCAAATAGCTAACAATTCGATCGATACGCACTACGTAATAAACAAACAATGCAAACAATAGAATCTATATAGATATAATAGTACTGTCTGTTGTATGTCCATGTAACTATTTCGCGGGGTGTGGATGGATCTTCACCAAAATCGGTATGGAGGTTTATTAAGTCCATGCGAGGGTGAATAAAAATTTTCAGTTTTGCATTTTGCGATTTTATGAGCGTTTTGCGTGTTGTTGTTTTTTGTGTTCTAAAATTTAAATATATGTTATTATATAACATTAGCTGTTAGCAATTTCATTATTAAGTAGTTACTAAATGGAAATGGAAATTGTAAACGGACTTTCTGGTTTAAAATCCAGACAATCCTCATTTAAAGTACATGTATTAAGATTTTCTTTGGGAATTTGGATTACTCAGATCTTTTCACCGGATGTTGTCCCACCGACAGTTGTCCTAGATTCATTTGTTCTAAGTCCTACTCTTACAAACAGTTGTTTGACATGTGCATCGCTGATATCACAGCACGATGGCACTCTATCGCTTAGGCTTTGACTAACGCTATACAGAACTTCCGTTGTTAAGGTTGCGTAGAATTATATAATTATCTGTTTTACCTTTTCCAGGTTACTTGGATGTATGGAATATATAA